AGCGAGAAACACATCTACATGGCATTTGAACCATTGACCAGGTGCAGTTCTGCAGCACCCCTGAATTGAGAGGGTTTCCACTCACGAAGCAATACAGGAGAAAGGGCATAGAAGCCACGGTGTTTGATGTCCACGAAACAAAACATCACGCGCCCCATTCCTAGACCCAGCAGGCACCCTCCCTCCCAACAAAAACAGTGATACTTGGATGAGGGACCCAAGACTTTATGCGATTTGTCTTTTTTGAGGGCACCCTTTGAGGGCACCTCTTTGGGGATCATCTATCTAAAAGAAGACCTATGATTCCGGAAGTCGGGGACTTGTTCCCTCGGGAAATTAACTACCTAACCAAGGGTGGTCATCCAAGTGGGTGTAGATCTCACTTCGTGAGTGGACTGGCCAAACACGTCTAAACTGCGTGTTGCCACTAAAATTGCCTTCTCCAAAAGTGACTCAAGTCCAATGAGCTCAGGTGATAGGGGTCCTAGTGGCTCCATTCTTCTCTATGGTGTGTAAAAAAGCCCACCTCTCAACAAGGACACAGGCTGGCATTTTTTTGCTGGCTGGGCGAAGCCTATTGTAACCCCTTAAGACTCAGGGAGTGAGTGTAAGGGTCCAGCTCCCTCAAACCTACAGGAAACTCCACCCGCCTGGTGCCCCAGTCCTGCGTGAAAGGCCAGGCCTCACGTGTGGTGAAGCAACCAAGATTGGGCTGACCGCGTTGAGATCCCCTGCTGCAAGTGACGAACTTTGCCGCTCAAAACCAGCTAAAAACCAAATAAAAAAGGGGTGGCTGGGAACCACCCAGCAAAACCGGGGTTGTGCTGGGTGTTCTGGCCCAACTGCGGATCTTTCCCAAGAAGCTCGAGGTTGAGCACAGTCAAAATGGGTTGCCAACAGCTTGGAGGGGCCGCCCCTAGGTTCCACGAACATGTCAAAAAGCATGCGTCAACCAAGCTTGAAAATGGAGGGCCCCTCAGCTTCCACCGCCGAAAGTGGCAGGAAATGTTTCTTCAAACCTGCTAGTCATCTAAGGGTTGCTTCCTTGTCCAATCTTTTCAGCCATCGTTCTTTTCGAAAACCAACCGTTTTCCTTGGGTTTCTGGAGGTTTTCTAGAAAGAATGATCACTGGAAAGAATGGGGGAGGTACCCCTAGCAGTAAGTCGATCAATTGAAGTGGAATTCAGTTCCCCGCGATCGATCGATCCCTCTGAACGGCGAGAAGCAGCAATGCAGGAGAAAACACCTCCCGCACAAAAAAGAAGACGGACCCTCACTTAAGGCCTGATTTCGGAGGAAAACCACAGCTAGGTCCTCCAGTAGAGGGTTAGAATAAGGGTACCCTTTTTCCTGTAGTATTTTAGCAGGGGAACCCTCCACACTACTGGGGGGCCTAGTAGCGCATGAGGTAGACGGTTTTCCGAAGCGGGTGTGGGTCCTACGAACTCACTTTGGCCACCCCCGTCCACTAGCTCCGATCTGGGCTGTGTTATGACGCAGCAGTCGAGCGCGCGCAGTGTTAGAACGCAGCAGTCGGGCGGGTGCGCTTACCATGGTCAGGCGCGCGCGCACAGTGCTATAACACGGCAGTCGGGCGGGTGCGCTTACCATGGTCAGGCGTGCACACAGTGTTATAACGAAGCAGTTGGGCGGGTGTGCTCACCATGAGGCTTGCGCGCAGTGTTGTAACGAAGCACTGACCATGGTCAGGCCTGCTATAACGAAGCAGTCCAGCGGGTGCGGTTATCATGGTCAGGCGTGCGCGCAGTGCCAGGGCGAAGCAGTGGTGCGGGCATGCTATGCAGGGTTGCAGGAAAAACGTTCACGCCGTTGAGCGCGATTTCTGGTCCGCCAGCACAGACAAGCTAACAAATGAACCAACCAATTTACCAACCAACCAACCAACCAACCAACCAACCAACCAACCAACCAGCCAGCCAGCCAACCACCAACCAGCCAATACATAACCACGCGACAACACACATATGGACACCCTGACGGATGCATCAGACAAAAAAGGGCGGGCTGCTCAAGAAAGAAATTGAACAGAAGCAGGTAACCCATACCTCTCAGTTGTCCAAAGGATCCCAAGGACCCGAGGGTTAAACCCGTGCTTCCAGTCAATCTAGATCTTGAGGCAGCCATCATGGAAAACCGAAACACAAACATACCGGGGCTGTCCTCAGATCCCCTGCTACAAGTTTGACCCACTAAACCAGCTAAAAGCCTCAAAAAAGCTAAGTGGAACCGGACGGCTGGGAACCACGCCCTGGAACAAAAATACAGATATCTCCAAAACCAAGAGGAAAATCAAACATATGCATTTCACCCAATGGAAGATACATGGCCACCTGAAAGAACTTGCGGGCGGCCGCTCGATTCGGGGCCCGAAGCTCAGGCCATGAGCCAGGCGCGGGGTGGAGCCGAGGCGGTTTGGAGTGGTGCAACGGAGGAGGAGGGGGTTTCTAGGCGTGCCTTCCATGTCCATTCTTTCCAGGGATCTGCTTTTTTGGTTCTTGTCTTGTTTCTTCCTTTTTTCCGGGAAACCATCAAACACCCAGAAGAAACAGCCGGATTTTGAAAAGAATGATAGCTGAAAGAATGGGGGATCAACCTCTAGAGGGTTTCCCCATTTGCTCTTTAAAGCCAGGGAATCAAATCCAATCGAAACAACCAAGCAAGGGTTATCTGATCAATTGAAACCATTCGGCAAGTAGCATGCAGGCTGCAAAGAACTTGGCAGAGGGTACAAAGTAGCTCTCCTTTTTCTAACTTTTGAGAGAAAGGCAGCCGAAAGACATTGGAATGTGATCCCAATCCTGCCTCAGCTTTCCCAACTCAAGAATAGCTTGATCTCTAGATTCCATACTCGCAAAACTATGCCCCATGTGCGAACTTCGACATGAGTGTTCCTCATAGAATATCCTTGATCGGTGGTTGGCCTCCTTTAGACCATCCCCTTCAACGGGAATGGTGGACATTTTGGGCAACACCCATATGAGTCATTCTTTTTTTGAGGGTAATCGCCTTTTGGTGCGCTTTAAAGGGAAATCAAGCCGGACACCCGCCACTCTCGCATTTGCCGGGTCTGAATAAAGACACGGACTCACTCGGCCAGGAGGCACTGGGCCACGACCGCGTGCTCGGGCTCCACTTCTATGGACACCACCTGAGTCGAAACACATCCAAATGGTTGCGAAATCCAATGCACCTCTTTTGAATCCCTGCAATGATTCTCCAGTAAACACCAACCAACAATGGCTTCCAGGCTTGGTTTCAAAGTGGTGCAGGAGTTCCGTCCATCCATCCACAGTATTTCCGGAGGTCGAGTCCCTTTCAAACCAACAAGGGAAAACAAAGCATACTCTTCAGGAAGTCGGTTCTTGAACACATGTAAAGAAACAATGGGTTGTTGCAAACACAAAAGCGAACTGCTCAGCCGTCTACTACTTTGTGTAGGATGCCAAGCGGCAATCCAATCGCCAATCGCTCGGTCCATGCCAGACAATCCGATATAGCTCCTTTCAAAACTGTCTTGTGGGCGCCTTCTTTCAAGGGACCCCTAATTGGTTTGAAGGGAAAACCAAAAGGAACACCACCATAATTGGAGGTCCCCCCCCTCCAAAAAAGAGGAAAAACAAGGCCGGAAGTGGGGGCTGGATAGCCCGGCACCAATACTGCTGTCTGCCAGCCACTGGTGGCCCCAAAAGCATGTAAAGCATGAAAAGCTTGCTGTTGTTTTTCAGGTTTTCATGCAGAGGGGTTTCGCTGGCAACGCATATGCGATATGCGCGTCCAGGCATGAACATGAACAACGCGATTTGCGCGGTCACATCTCAACATAAACACCGTCCTAAACCAAAACTTTAAAACCGTAGGTCAAAGGGTTGGCTTGAAGACCACGCATTCAGAAAGCCGATCAGAAACAGGTCAAAGGTCCAAAAGCAGACCCGTCTATGGAGGGCTTGAAGGGGTCCCTCATTTTTGTCAGAACCGCTTTCTTTCTGGTCACCCAGAGAGAAGCCCAGTGACTTTGCGTTGGTTGCAAGTGAGTAATGTTGACCCCGCATGAATAAACCCCCCACAAAAAGGCCCCACCAATCAGCCAGGAAGTTACTAATTGGGCTTCTCAGTTCGGGAGTTTTCTTGCCGCAGTCAACCTGTCCGGAACCACGTCTAGCGGAGCTCCAAACATATGCACAAACTTGGGTCTGCCTTTGCTTTTGTTCTCAAGCACCAGAAAAGGCGTTGGTGTTCTCTGGTTCGCTTTGGTTGTGAAAAAACAATATTTCCTTCAGTTCCGAAGTCCTGAAAAAGTGTCTGTTCCGAAGTCCTTCAGTTCCGAAGTCCGAATGTTTCCTTCAGCTTTCCGCTCACAGCAACAACTCAAAACCAAAAAGCACGGCCCAGCACGGCCCGGTCTGTGGGGCCCCGGCGCGACTGGGCCGGCCTGGCGTTTTTTTGCGATTCACGTGGTGCCTTCGACCTTGTGGTGGCCATCTCTCTACCTGGAGTCTCCTTCTGACCCTTACAAATGGTGGGTCATTGCCCAAAACCAAGGGGCCATGTAATGTCATGTACCTATTTTTAAAGGGTCAGAAGGAGACTCCAGGTATCCGTGCTTCTGCCAGTGAGGATTTCTTCAGGGGGGGTATTTTTTCCAGGAAGCATGAGCTTCCGTTTGTGAGGGGGTCCAGGGATTCTTTGGCCTTCATGCCGGATAATCTTCACCTTGGTGAAAGTGGAGGTCACAACTCCCGTTTTTTTCTGCCAGGGTGATGAAACCAACCAGGAAGGTGTGCCATCCTTTCGGTTGTGCCCCACTTGCCCAGAGGACCTGGACATGCAAGCAGATCCCTTTGCCATAAGGCTGGGGGTCCCCAATTTATTTTATCTTGTATTCTTCAGAGGCAAATCGAAACCAGAAATGGAGACTTTTCAGGTCACCCTCCCCAATTCCACAAAGCAGCCTCAGCCCCGACAAGAAGAAAGCCAACACCTAAGGCTCCAAAGGTCGGCTTTGGGCCAGCGAGGTACGGCGAAGCTTTTCCCGAAGGTGTCGAGGTCGCAGACTCTGCACATCTTTCTTCGACCAGCCGGCCCGCCCAAGGCCAATATCTGCACCCCGGAAGCGGTACCTCCTGCGAATGGCCCAGCGCGGGACCTCTAATTCTTACCAGACAGGGGCTGGTAGAACCAGACAGCCGGAACCAGACACAGGTCCTGGGTTGAACCATCCTTTTATTTTAACGGCACCTGTTTTCTCTACTTGTGAGGTTCCATGTTCATCGGTGGGAGGGCAATTGGACCGACCAGGCAGGTCAACTGTTTGGGGAGAGAACTCAAAGGGGCAGGGCGATCGGGTACGTCTGGCAAGTGGCGACCGTGGCTGCCCACCAAAGCCACGGTCCTGGGTTATAACAACTTACCTGACATACCCCCCTTGAGCTCTAAGAAGGTTGCTTGTGGGGGCCTTTGCCTCTTGGGGAGAACCCCGTTCCAGAAAACGGCCTGGATGCGCCTTTTGTGGATTTCACCTTCTCTCCCCCCTGTTGTTTCTTTTTTTTCTTCCGCGATCCGGTTAGTACTCTTTTGATCTCCTACCGGGGTGGATCCACAGAAGCCACATCCAGACCGTTTTTCTAGACCTGCTCCTGGCCTCATGAGTTTTACCATGATCAACATCACCCCAGGAAACCACCAAATCCCATTTTCTGACTTTGATCACCCCAGAAACCGTCGAAATCCGTGGCCCCATCAAGCCGTTTTGCTTCGCCCCGTCCTCCTCCAGGCCGTGGCTCCGCGAGTCCCAGAGAAACAGCCCCAGGCCCACGCGCTCTAAGCCTGGATCAAACCGACCCCTGACTGGCGCGTTCTTTGCAGCTGCTGTTTCATCCGCTTCCCTCCCAATTCGTGGTTTGGATTGGCGGAGTTGTGACATCCCCCAGCCACCACTCCGCTAGGGGGAAGGCAAAACCGAAGGGTTAGAAACAAAGCGGGAACAAACAAAAAAAAAAGGCGTCTGGAAGACGAGGCGTGTTTTTTAATGGACCACCCCGGAGGTTTGTTCAAACATATCTCACTTAGACGACGTTGCCATTTTGAGTGCGATGATTCGTCGTTTGGTCCCGCGCCCGTGAAGTCCAGCAGGCCATCCTCCAGGTTCACGCCAATGGTACGCAAGGCCATCCTAACCGGGTGATCGGGGCAGGGCAGGGCAGGTCTGGGTGAGTTGCTACTTATACTAAACCAGGAAAAGAAAAAGATGAAGAAGGAGGAGGAGGAGGAGGAGAAAAAGAAGAAGGAGGAGGAGGAGAAGAAGATCATGATGATGAGGATGATGATTCTCATTTGCTTGCAAACCAGCACGCAACTGGCTACCGAAGCTTGATTCAGTGGGATAGAACTCCCGCATATGTTTCGGACACCTGCTTTTTGTGGAATGGGAAAGTCTGGCGCGGCCAAACGAAAACCGCCCGGACCGTGCAGTTCTTACGTATGCTCACTTCAAGCACCACCCCACCAGCAAAAACAAAAAACAAAGGGCACTCACAACTATGTTAGCAATCAACGTGGTCCTTTGTAACCAGCCACCAACAAAGAGAGCCCAGCGACAAACCCAAAAGGCCACAAGGTATACTTCAGCCCTGCTCCCAGCTGCCCAGTTATTTGAATGCGCTTCCATTTTCAGGAACCAGCAGTCTTGATGAAACCAGCCATTTTCCCGAACTCGCATGGTTTTTTCCCCTCGAAATCATTCCCCCCCATCTGTCCAAAATATATCCCTGCATGTCATGCATTAGTTTCTCTCTTCATTTCCGACTCAAAAGGGGACCAGGTCGATGATCTTGCCTATATCCTGCAAGCTCCGCCCTTCTTGGCAGGTGTCGCCAGGCACTTCTCGTTGAAGGGCTCATAGTACACCTCGCGCCATCTTCAGGGTCCTTTTGGGCTACCACTTGGGTTGCTTGCGGGGTTTTCTGGTTGCCTTCTGGGTTCCTTGCTGAATTTCTTTTGATGTCCTTTTGGATTCCTGTTCGTTTCAAGAACTCCTTGGGTGTTCCATTGGTCCTTTGAGTTGCTTCATGTGTCCTTTTCGTTTTCTTTTGGTGCCCTTTTGGTTGCTTGTTGTTGCCATGTTGGTCTTCTGGAATTCTTTTCGGCCTCCCGTAGATACCCAAAAAGGGTCTGTTCCTACTACTGTGTTCATTTCATAATCTCAGGGATAGCCATTCCAGCTCTCAAACACTCAGGCCAAACACAGCTGGTGTAGAAAGAAAAGGTTTCAGCAAGGGAGGGCCCTAGGTTTCCCGAAAATAATGTTTTCCAAAAAGAGATGTTGACCTTGACAACAGGCGAAACGGGGCTCAACTGACAGACTGGCTAGTCACGTATGCGAAACCAGGCGTCTGTGTCTTTAGATACTCAGATGCCCTGTGGCCATGGCAAAAAAGGGCAGCCTTGAGTTTAAAGGGGAACCCTTCCCCAAAAACAGGAAAAATGGGGCACCACTGGGCAACAAAGGATATGGGGGGCCCATATTAAGGTGGACCTGTTTGGTGAAACCCCCATGTGCAAAAACATCCAGTGCCGTCAGGTGTTGGAAAGCATCATTCCTGGAAAGGAAGCTGGATTGAGAAGGGGCTCTTTGTGCAACTCTTCGGGGCAAGTTGGGAGAAGACGTGTGCTTTGGTGAGAGGTGCCGTCCAAACCGCATTTCTCCATGAACGGCTTGGGGCTAGGGACGTGAAGGGCGACTGGGCAACGAGACATGATGAGTCCGCGGAGAGGTTTGACACCCAGTGGCGCCCCTGGCACAAACTTCCAGCTTCTTTCTGTGCGTTGGACACAACAAATTCTCACTAATTAATAAGGAGAACACGACGGAACGCCAAAAACTCGCTGCCTGAGCGGATTGGCCCAAAACAGTAGGAGCTTGTTCTTCCCCACGAAAATTGCCAAAAGGCCAAAAGTTTCAGGTTGCATGAGTTAAAGGCGCAACGAGTCACCAAAGTTCAGCTGAGGGCGCCTTAGGACCGTCCCAAGTAAGCCCCGGACCCAGACGATGTGTCCCTGGCAAGCGCCGTGCCCGCTGAAGGGCAGGTCAGGCGCCAAGGGCGCTACCAGCACAGAGAACTTGTGCTGCTGCCTATGGCTCTTTCGGCAAACTCGACCCCCCAAAGTTTCCACATCTGGGGGGCACAGAGAAAATAATATGAGCCTTGTGACTCTGTTTCATACTTACCCAGAAAGTAGGAGAACCCTCAAAGCGTTTTTTCCCCCATGTTGCAAGGCCCAAAACCAGGGCACCTGGGCCCTCAACCTATGCTTAACCTGGATGTTGCGGCCACATGGGGCCACGGAGCGAGAACGAGGACCCCCGGTTTCTCGAATGGAGATCTGAACCCCGTGCTGACCATAGGTGGAAATAGATGGCCCTGGTAGATGATTAAGCCACCAGGAAACCAGGAATCGCCATCTATTTTTGTACCAAAACAAAAGGACACCTATGGTGCTGATTGTGACCAAACTGCAGTTCTACGTCAGCTTGATCCCCTTCGCTGAAGAGTTGTGCCGCAGTTCAACCGAGGAGTTTGCCAACATTCCCTTGCTGAATGCCCAGGGCCAGAACCGCCGAAGCAGGCCAGCGGAGAAGTCGAAAAGACTCTCAAAGAATTCCCCGTAGACCGAAACTGGCCAAACTGACAACAGCATAGAACACGAAAAATCAAAGGTCCCCCTGAAAGGTGACAGTACATTCAATCCACTTGATAGGCGGTGACCACTGGGGGACAGGAACATTAAAGAACCCTAACCTTGAGAAACTCAACAAAACACCCTTAGCAACCAACTGAACTTCCTAACCCCTCAGGAGAACCCCACCCTTCCTTCCATTTGCTTAAAGCACCCTGCAAAAACTGAAAACATATTTCCAGTAGTAAAATCGATTCCTTTTAACACCACCAGGGTTCTATAAAAAAACATGTTCTCAAATGGAAGCTTCCATCACCTCGAGAAACCCCACCAGAACCCGAAGAAGAAAACCCACTGAACCCATGGAACCCGTTCGCGATCCCCCGACTTTCGCGCAGCGGCAGGTACGCGCCGTCCTGGAGCTTCCGGACCTCCGGGCGCCGCAGGAAGAGCGCGCGCCGGCACAGGCCGCGACCACATCCCGGGGTGAGGAGCTGCTCCTGAGACTGCCAGTCATTCCATGTGTGCAGGTGCGTGTATGTATTTATATTTTTACATATGTTCAGTTATGTGTTTATGTTGTGTTATGTTATGCTATATTATGTTATGGTATGTTATGTTATGGTATGTTATGTTATGGTATGTTATGTATGTATGCATAGATACATATTGATTGTAGGCAACCAAGGGGTGCACGTGTATACACACGCGCATATCTGAAGATATCTACATAAACAAAAAAGAAAAAACGGAACATACATATACATATACGTATGCGTTTTCTTGAATTTACATCTGCATATATCAATGCACCGTAGGCAACCAAGGGAGCCCTATGAGCCCTGCAAAAGCTGAAGGAACTGTGCTGGTTGCCTATGGTAATTGGGATCCATTGGGCGACATAACCTTCTCTCACGTGTTGCAACGTTGTTAAAACCACCGTTGGTTTCCCCTAAGGAGGCCTGGCTTCCGAGTCGTTCGTCCTGCTCCAGGACCTCCAGAATGTCCTTGCCCTTTCGCCTCACAGCGGGCTATGCTTGGCGCCCCCTGGTTTCCATTGGTTTCCATGAGTTTCTTGTGGTTTCCTTTGCTTTTCCTTGGTTTATATTGGTTTATATTGGATTTCCTTGAAGTTCCTTGGTTGTCCATTGGTTTTCCTTGGCTTCAGATTAAGCTTTCTCTGGGGGCATGGCTTGACCATGGCTATGGAATCATTTGCCAGTGGATCCCAGGCACTGCAGAAGGCTAGCCAATTGTTTTGGGGTATGCAGCAAAATCGCCCCTGATTCTATCCTTTGAAATGGGAAATCACCCATGGCAACATCTGCTTTACGGTGGTTCCCTAAGTTGCGAAAAGGGGAAACTTGCCGAGTGGATCGGGTCACAAGTCTGGACTTCTTGTTTGCTACTCAGTCTGATCTTTTCAGTAACTTTGAAGTCCAAACGATGGGAAGCGCCTTCCACAACCGACTCCGACTCCCCCCTAACTAATGGGGGAATGGGGATCTCAAAGAAAAATCGTGCATGAGACCAAATTCGAATCAGGCACGCAGCGGTTTTCTTCATCTGCTGCTTTTGTTTGTTCAGGGGATGGCCCCACCATGTCCCACCCTAAGCCTGTTGTGTGGGGTAGCGAGGCTCCCTCCTCCATGGTGTTTTGTTTGGTTGAGCAGGCCCAACAAACCTCACTCCGGATTCCAGGTCTCAGCTAGTTGGATGTGCATGGGGAAAGCAAGAATAGCCCCTCTTGTCTTGGCCAACATCTGTGCACAGAATTTATTCGTTTCAGCTTCTATTTAATGTTTAGTCTGCGTTGGAGGGCCCCAGTGTTTGGTTGGTCCCCAAACGCTTGAAATGCCGACCCCGCAGGTAGAAACTCGTCCTATTTACTGCAGAGGGGACGAGGGCGATGAACTCCCTGTAAAAGGGGACACCCCCTGCTAATCAACCAGGGGTTCTACTTAGACCCGGGGTTCCCACTACTGTTGACCCCGGATGGATAAAACCCCTGTTTATTAATAGGGCCTGATTTAGTGGGGATTCATCACTTTTGGAGGGGTACACCCCCTTCGGCTCCTATTAATCTATTTGAGTGGTCCCAGAGCTGGGGAAGTGAGAAATACAAGGTGATCACTTTTTTTGGGGCCCATGACTAAAAATGGCACATGGCAAGAAAACCAGCACGTAAAAAGGTCGATTCGCTTGTCCACTGAGTGTCTAGGCTCTTGGGTGCCTTTTGAGGGGTCACAAGGCCAGCCCCCCCCTCTGCAAAAGCTGTTTTTTTGTGGGTCCAAGCCCCCCAAAAGTCAAAATCCCAAGATCCAGCCAAATAGCCACAAAGCAATGAACCCCTCCAGACCCTTCCATTTGCTTCAGCCTTGTCGGAAAAAACAAACCTATTTCCAGCAGTGATAGATTCCCTTGAAAACCAAAAAGGACGGAAACAATACTAATTTCAGCAAATGAAAAACAACAGATAATAGATCCCCTTTAAAACCAACAAGGGCAAATAACAGACATATTCATTTCAGCCAATGCAAGGACCTCAAACCAAGTTGGGCCTTAGATGAAGCGTCTCTCTGGGTCCAGTCTCCCAGTCTGGGCTCGCAGCCAGGGAGGTCCATACCCCAAGTCCTTCAAAAGGTCTGCATGGCGCGAAAGATCACCTCAGCTCCGACGCTCCGACTGAAAGAAAACCAGCTAGGAACCCAATCACCTCCTGAGATGTGGTTCGCTTTGTGGAAAAAGATGTGTCCAGGACGGATAGATTCCCTTTAAAAGCAACAGGGGAAAATAAAAATACTCTTAACCAAATGGAAGTTGGGTGCCAAGGGAACAAGGAACCCTGAATTTACGGCAACATTTAGCATGGCTTTGGGGGTAAGTGTGGTTGGCTCACTGCCGGTCGAGACTGGCCGAACTCAAAGCCACTGATTTGGTCGTGCCCAAAAAGTGACTAGAGTCCAGGAACTCTGCTTAGTGAGTGGAGCGAGGCCACAACTTTTCTGGGGTCCCCCGACTTTGAGACATACACATTTCCCTTGCGCACATCACTTAAATAAAAAAAAACAAAAACTGGCCTAAGCGATATCAAGCCTCTTGCATCTGGGCAGCGGGACCTATCCTTTCAGACATCCGTCCTCATTCGGGCCGCTTTTTAGTGGTTCTTTGATCGCTTGCTAGAAGTGAAAGTTTGATGATAAACCAGCACTCCCCTTAAATGCTAATAGTCCAAAAGTCAAAGTCTAAGTTGCTGTGGATCTCGGTGGGAACAGCCAACATATCAGCAAGCCATAGGTTGGCGGGGGCTGTTTCAAATCAACCTCTTCGTCCAGAAATTTCTGCAGGACAATTGCTGAACACACGCCGGGCTCCCAGTGATCCCAGTTGCCACTGTATTCGGAAATCAGCTCGGTTCCTTTCCCCTCGCTTGACAACAGAGGGGAGAATCATTGGGAGTTGTTTGAAGAACGAAATTTCGGTGTTCCTTTCAAGCGTATTCATCGACACCCCCTTGAAAGAACCGAATCCGGAAACAGAAAACTGGGGTAGTCAGCGATTCATTGGCCAGACTCAGAAGCAACTCGCCGTAAAATTGGCGACAAGGTCACACAGTGACGTTTAAGATCGAAACAAGGGGTAGGGTGTAGGGAACCTCAGTGTCATGTGCGTGTCTTGGATCAAACATAAACTACCACACTTCGTCTTCGGGGGTTTCAAACATGCTTCGCCTGTTGCGACTCAGGGAACTTGAAACCAGCGAGCTGAGAGGTCGAGGCGCTCATGTAGCCTTTGCACCGTTTAGAGCTTGAGCATTTCAAAGGCTGCGGCCGGTTTAAGAGGTGCGGACGCCTGTTGCTTGCTGGTGCCATAGGTGGGGAATGAGAAATGGAATGAGCCCAGGCTTCGGTCCCCAAGGAAACCACCGCTTGGTTTACAGGGGGCATTCCATTTCTCATTCCCTGCTGGGCACCAGAAAGGTAGTGTTGCAAACCACTCACCACGGCTGTAGGTCCCACAAGTAAGTTCCAGGCATGGCTACGGTGGATGCCGTGGCCATATTGCAAGTAAACCCGCAAACCATGGGAATGTACGAGCTTTCCCTTTCTCCCCACTTGCGATATTTTGGGCATTCACCGAACCAACCACTTAGAACCCCTGCCATTCGAGCAAGGTAGCAAGGTCTTGCCGAGAAGAAACGTACCCTGCAAGCACGCTCTTGTTCAAACCCATCGCCTCAAACTGTGACATATGGAAAATCTAGGCAACAAGGGGATATGTACCAACAAAGGGTGACTCGGAAAGGGCCCATGTTGCGGACCGTGTTGAGGAGTTGTCAAAGTTCGAAACGCTTTTCCCTTGAACCCCCCTTCAGGCAAAAGGCCTAAGACCTTAGGAATGTCTCCAACAATGCTTCTCAAGTAGCTATATGGCCATGGGACAAAATCCCGTACCCCAGTGAACATCCTAATCCCACCTAAAATAAACTAAAATGGGCGGTGCACCTACCCGAAAATGGTACCACATGTCTGGAAAATATGTGTTTGAGTGGTGCACTTCTTCACCTCGGTATAAAAGGGAACTAGCCAAACACACGCCTGTTGCGGGGCATGCATATAGGCAGTATGTACCCTCCCACCGACGTTGCCATGACCCATGCAGAACTCAGAAAGGGTCTCAGAAACCCCGGCGCCAGGTTTCAGAGCTGGAAGCTACCAGTCGGCTCAACCCACATGATTTGTTCCGATCCCGGGGCCAACACCTACTTGAACGGCAACATATGGAGCTATAAGCACGCAGAAAACCAACAAGGCCTCCGTATTCAACACAACAACTTGAGGCAAACTGAGGCCCATCTCGCGATCCGAGTTGGCGAAAACTGGCCGGCAGAGCGTGCAGCGCAGCGGATGGCAGTGAAGCCTGAGCGGCTGGGCAGTTCGACACCCTTTCAACCTGATTTCCATGGGCAAAATGGGGCACCTTTTGGTTGGCGGCTGATTTACCCCCCCTGTCCACTATCCTAACATTTCGGGGTCCTGGAATCGATTTTGCTTCAAAGGGACACTTAGGTGCAAAAAACACCTGAGACAAATGGTTTCTCCACAAGCCCTGTGAGCTAACAAATACACCTCCCGTCCTCATCTGCGCTTTACAGGTTTATGTGAACATACCGTAACATATCAAATCTGCATCTTGCTCCCTGTGCATTTGTTTCTCTCCTCCTTCTCCCTCTATACACTTGGTACGTGTTGAGCAACCATGGCTATAACTAAGCTACATGGGGGAGTTACAGCCACCGCCATGGTGGGATGTAACCACGGGTGCTCACCACTTACCTCACACACCCTGCCGCGTCAAAAAGGGGAACGAAGTCCTTCACTTGTCCCGTCGCTCCTCCTCATGAGCAGGGGCTTGACGAGCTGGGGTCAGCCCAAAATAGGATAATTTCAAACTGCACGGTTTCCAAAGTGAACAAGAAGGGGAACTGCCGCAGCTTGCAACTTCTTTCTCCAGCGGCGGGCGGCCAGGCACCATCGGTGCGAAGATGTTCGTGGCGAGGCATTCAAAGACCAGTCGCGAGAATCATTGGAAGGCTCCTCCAGGCCCATCCACCCTGAGCTCCAAATCACCAGAGCCCTACTGGTTATACACTCCACAGAAATCATCGGAAATGAATAAAAGCCGCGCCCTATGGCTTTCCTGGAGGTCCATTCTGGAGTCTCTCAGGAGATGCGGTTGATCTTGACATCAATCACCAGGGTGTCATCCCGCGCGTTGTTCAACACCCCGTTCCTCAGTCGAAGAAACCAGCTCCGGAAAATTCTACCAAAGCCAAGCACCCATGAAATAGTCCATGAAATACCCGCCAACTGCAGAATTTCCTGCTGGTCCCCCCAAGACGGTCAAGAACTTCAAAAAACGCGGGGGTCCCAATTCCAGTCGTCTAAAGGAGACAAAAACAAATGTCTAAATGGAACTCGAGGGGTCACTCCAACTCTGGGTGAATTATAATATTTCACCAACCTGAAATAAGGTGGTTGGGGGGCTACTCCCCACACAAACAACCATTTGGGGTGAGGTCGTGTGAGGTCGTTATAATTCACCCAGCTCAATGTTCAACCTTGAGGCTTTGACTTTGTTCTATGTGCAAAGGGATGAGACTCATGCAACGCGTCAAACTGTAAACGATTGCCCGTAGAGGCCTCTGTCCACTTTCGTTCTCGGAACTACCGCAGCTTTTGCCGAATCGCAAAGACATGTTTTTGATGCTGGTCCAGACTACGTGAGGCTGAAACATGTCGAACAATGTCACCCCTTAAGTGGTTCGTTGAAGGGAAGCAACCCCCAGTTTCTGATTTTGATGACCCCCAAAGTAACACAACGGCCCTGCTGGCTTCAAAGACGAGAGGAAAAATGATACGCGTAACATGTCCGGCTACTGTTTAGTTGGGAATGGTTTCATTGTAAGCCACCGACTCACATCCCCACACCTGTGGAAGTCCATGGGGAAAAGGTGTCCCTTTTTGTTTTGGTAGCTAAGGCTTAGCTAAACAAGGCCAATCGGAAAAAAAAAGGCTGAGCGAGAGAGAAAACAACACTGGAGTTCCGGAGTTTGTCCAACCAAACCTCTTCACCGCTTGTTTTATGCCCAAACCTAGAAGGGCGGTGCGACTTTGTGCACGTCCGAATTCGGAAAACCCGCAACCAAAAAGACAAAGCCAAACGACAGGTTATACCAAATAGCTAAGAAAATGGGAGGCCTCGGCATTTTTCATATATGTTTTTCCGGCCACCGCTGGCCACAGCGATCTACGCACCGGAACCCGCCGACGCCGTCCGAAACCGGGGGCCCGGGCAGGAGCCGGTTCCGGAGCTCCCAGGGTGCGCCGGAGCCAGAGGCCGACCTCGTGGCATGGACATGTCTTCAGGTGTCCGAATCCCTGCCCGGCTTCAACCCCCCCGCCTCCGGAAAAAGAAGAAGGAAGAAACAGGCGACCAAATACCAAAAACGAGACAAAAGAAAATTATGCCTTCAAGAAAGACACAGACACACACACACATACACTGCACTCAATATGTGTATATATATATACATATATTTGGTCGATGTCCCAAGCTAATTAGTGTCGATTCGCATTGGATTTAGCCCACCCTGCAAAGGGGATTTCTGAAGCTGGGGACGATACCCCCTGTCAAGGGGCTGGTCATTCAATTACGGGGACACTTGGTGGCTTCCCATTGGTTTGCTATCAAATGCTATCCAAGCGTTTACGGATGTTTACGACCTGAATAACGTTCGGTTGTGGCCATAATATCCAAGTGTCCTGTTCGGAACATAGATGTTCTATCAACTCGGAAATTTCCATGGACTCTACCTAAGTCAATGTTGACACATGAAGGGAACTGCTAGTTTTTCCCTATGGTCATAACCGCCAAACCGCCAAACACAAATGCAAAAGAGTGATTCCAAAAACTGGGCTCAAAAGAGTGGCGTTTGGACAGAGCTTTACTAGAAATCCACGCCTTACCTTTGGGAACCTTTGGCAAACATGAAATCAAACCAAACCCGGATGACGCTGGATGTGTAGAATATGTTTGAACGGGGAAGGGCCCTTTTCTCCAGGGAAAAATGAACAGAATCTCTAAACAGAAAAGGGGTGGAACTTCCAAGGAAAGTGTTCTCTTGGTCTCAGGGGGTCTCATTTGGGAGTGGGGGATCTAAACCCCAGTTCCAGTTGCTCGATGGGTTTGGTTTCCCTCTCGTGTGTGGTCGATTTCTCACTTGACATGGAGTCAAACCCAAAGCATGCCAGCAAAGGGAACATGCATGGGGGGAAACCCCTCCAATTGAGCGTCCTCCTCAGAGAACTTTGAGACTTAGGGGATGCTTGGATGTCCCACTTAATATCCCAAAACAATCAGTTCCTATTCCGTGAAATTTGCCCTATGACGCTTGGGTGACTCATGAACTGGGCATATGACCATATAATTTCATCTCTGGACAGTCCAGGTGCAGATTTCCATAATCACATATATATATATATACATATCTAGAAACTTCTGCCGATTTAGATCCAGGATGGTCCAGGTTCTCCTCAAGGCGAGTCCTTCAACTTCAATTCCCCGGACGGCCCAAGGCTCCAATGGCGAGGCGCTCGCGTGGGTCCGGGATCGCCCCCGGCTTTCCCAGCTGCTCCTCCGAGCAGGGCCTCGGATACCTCAGGAGGGTTTCGCGCGACGCACGAGTCTGGCGAGTCTGACCCGAGGGTGGAAAACCAACAGGTTACAAGGTCGATGCGCTTTGGGCAACTGAGCTTTGGCTGATTTGCCTTGGTCCAAGGGCAAAATCGAGAAGCACCTGGTTGTTGTGCGGCCCTTGGAAGAGTAAGGTTGGGGCTTGGCCATTTGTAGTGAACCAAAAGGGATTTAGAGGCCACGGACAGCTGTAGGCCAGCATCCCCCAAAACATAAAAAGGATTCCACCCCGCAGGGGACCTAAATGAAGGTTGATCTGGGACCTTGACTAAAGATGGAAGGAACACACCTGGGGCGAACAAAAGAACCCAAAGCAATGGGGGATTTGGACCTCGGGTTCTGAATCAACAAAATCTCAAATTCGGCGAAGCTCCAGCCCGGTTTCATTGCGTGCTGGACATGTGGCTTTTGGCTAGTTGAAGAGCACACAAATGAGTCAACATCCTGCAAACACCTCCCATGAGCCTTGATCATCTTTACAACCCTTGGTAGGGTAGCAACAAAACTGTGCTTTTTGCAGCCCCCCCCCCCCCAAAAAAAAAAAAAGAGAGGGGGACCCCCTCAGCGTGGGTATTTTCCATGTGAAACAAGTGTTTTTCCGAATTGGGGAGTTGTGTGCAGTTATGTGTGTATATATCCTCTGACCGCGATCTGCGCTGCAACTTTGGCCAGCTAGAAAGCATCTCATCCATCTGCATCCTGCACTGAGTCGTCCCACCCTCCACTCTGGGCTAAGATGGCACTTGCAGCAGAAGACATGACCTACGAGGATCTCAAGGAGATCGTGGATGTAAATCTTCTGGCAAGCTTCGTATGTTAAACGAAACTTTTCATCTGAACTTTGTCCTGTCATCACCTTATTACCTGCAACTTTGAGAGGCCCTGCTCCTACATCTGCCCAACTGACAAGCTGGTAACCTTCTTCAGCTGCCTGAACTTAAGCAGCTTTCAGCTCCTACCTGATCTCAGTCCACCTCTTTCTGTCGTCCCAACTGGCACCTTTGAGCTCATCTGCAGAGAAGACCAACTTCTTGCTTGGATCTTTGGCCCAAAGTGGGACTTGATCACTCGTGCCGATTACCAGTGAGGATCGTTTCTTAACTATCATCTCTGCATCTGCAACCAAATGTGCATCTTCAATCTCAGCAACTGGAGCAAGCACCTAGATGCCAGAGCTTTCTGTCAATATCCTGGAAGGCTGGGCCCGCGCCTGTTCTTCAACTGGTGCCAGGCGAGTAGTCTGATCTTTGCTCAAGTAAGCTGCACCTAGCCATTGGATCAGCTTCTCTACATAAGAAGCTGCATACTTTGAGCTCTGCTGGAGCTTGGTCTTTCTCTGTAGGGCACAGTCAGCTTCTTTCAGCCAAGCTTTCCTTTGCATCTCATTTCTGCAAAGCTCTGCCCTGACCATGCATCTCTCTGCCCTTGCAACCAGAAGGGCAAAGAACTCTTTCAGCAGCTCATTCTTTGAAACGTTGTGGCTATAACTCCTTTCTTTCTGCAACCACTTGCCAAGTTGAGAGATCTCTCTGCTAAACTCTCTCTTTCTCCCTCCACTAGCTGCTCTGGCAAACCTCTTCTGCAATCTTCCAGCCTCTGTGTGCTCATCTTGAACTTTCTCCTTGCAACTGCCCAAGCTTCTGCTTCTGAGGCTGAGACTCTTCCAGAATCATTTGAATCTCTTCACTAAGCTTCATCTTCTGAAAGGCAAAAAGCTCTTGCTTCCTGGAAGGATCTGTCTCCTTCTTCCTGTTGCTTAACTGCCCACCTGCAGTTCCTCTACGCTCTTCCAGAACTGGAGGCCTGCCACCTTGTCTGCCTGTTACAGCTTCTTCTGGGTCTTCTTTCTCCAGCTCTGCTAGCTTCTGGAGGTAAGCTGACATCACTAGTGCAGCTTCTTTCTGCAGCTTGCTCTGCTGCTGCCTCTGGTATGGAACTACCCTGTTAGATAGCACAGGCTCTATCTCCTTGGCTTGCTGCTCTGGTGTTCCAAAAAACTTCTTTACGCTGAACTGTTTCTTCTCTAAGCTAGCTGGGCTGGGGCTGGGTGCAAGCTGGCTGGAAGCTAAGGACTCTGTCGGGCTTGCTGTCACCTGAAGCTGTGTTGTCGGGCTGGCCACACCTTTGGTTTTCTTGTTGTTTGGTGTTTGAAAACCTTCTAAGCTCTTTCTTGCAAAGCTGTCCTGTGGTGAAGCTTTTGCTGCAGGCAGCCTTAGAAACATCGAGAAATCAAAAGAAGGTGTCCAAAATCAAAAAAAAACATTGAGAATTCGAAAGAAACCATCCAAAATCAAAAAAAACATCGAGAAATCGAAAGATTTTGTCCAAAACCGAAAGAAACCTCGAGAAATCGAAAAAAACCAAAAAAACCAATCTGGCCAACAGAATGTTTACATGATACCAGCACATTGTCCCAGAATCTTTGTTTTTTTTGGTTTTTTTCGATTTCTCGAGGTTTTTTTTGGTTTTGGACAAAATCTTTCGATTTCTCGATGTTTTTTCGGTTTTGGGACAGGAGCCTGACATCTGCAAGGGGGGTAAGGTGGAGAACTGTTTGCATGATACCAGCACATTGTCCCAGAATCTTTCGATTTCTCGATGTTTTTTTCGGTTTTGGACAGGAGCCTGACATCTGCAAGGGGGGGGTAAGGTGGAGAACTGTTTGCATGATACCAGCACATTGTCCCAGAATCCTTTTTTTTCCTCGGTTTTGGCCAGAATGCAGCAAAATTAGGTGTGTGCAAAAACCCAACGCTCACAGTTGTCACAGGGTCCCTTTCTGAAAAAAAAACACACACACAAAAGCACAAAAAAAAACCACCAAAATGAACAGAACCCCCCCCAAAAAAAGAAGAAGAAAAGAACAGGGACAACAAAAACTAATGACACACTTGCCCAGCAACAACTGTGAATCGCTGCAACTTCTTCGGGTGGAGATCCGTATCCAAGGGGCCCCAGAGCTGGCGGGATCACCAGGCGCCGCTTCTCGCCTTGCGTCTTGACGCATGCCAGGTGTCCAAAAGGAAACCCACCACTTGGGTATGGGGCAAAATTACACCACCAGAATCCCTGGGTCCATTTACCAGGGCTCCATGTTGGGCACCTATTCTTGACCCACGGCCACTTCTTCTTCGAGGGGCCTTGTGGACCAGAGCGGACCCCCAGCGCGGAATGCTCAACCAAAGGTGACCAGGAATTTGCCCAGTCTTTAGAGGTGAGCAAATTGCTTGGTTGTTCACGGGGAGATGGGATCACTGGATGAAGAAGTGGAGTCGATGCCTTTCGCGTGATCCCATGTTTTCGGCTGGTATTGATCCCGTTTTTTTCGGGGCTACCTCGGTCCGAGTCCGTTTTGCAGAGGAAGCCGCACCACTCCATGGACAGTGGCTGCCCGATCTGCTTTTTTTTTGCCTTCAGGACGGTTCGCAAAGTTCCATGTGCTCCCCACACAATGGGCTCTCAAAATAAGGGATGGGTGCCCTCCAAAAGAAAGCCATTTCCAAACAGAACATCATGCCACTCGAGATCTCCCAGGGGCTTTTCCCCTCTCCCCCCCCCCTCCCCCCCCCTCCCCCTCGTGAAACCAGGCAAACCGGACGGACCGGTGCGCGCCTTTCAGCATGCCCACCACGCCCACGTCCAGGCCGGGGATGGCCTCGCCCTTCCCCACGCGGAAGGTCACAGGCTTCTCCGAGTATCCCGACTTGTCCTAAGGCTCGGCTTTTGGAGTGGGTTCTGTGGCCCTTTGCTGGCAAACTTACCCTTCCCCCCTTTTTGGGGTCTCTTCAAATGACGCCATTACCCCCATCAGGTTGTGGCTTTATCTGCCCAGAACCCTGTTTCCCCAGCTGCTGAAGGCCTTCGGGCCTCTTCCTGGGATGATTTACGGCAGCTTTCAGGGAGGGTTCCGGAGGGTTCCGGGGCTGTTGGGGATACCACCTGAGCTTATTTGGAATTGGTACTTCTCCATGATCCGAGTGAAAAATGCGGCTACCCCGACTGCATGTTTAAAGACGGAGGCAGCAGGTGAAAATGTAAGGTAAAACCCTGCTGAACCATGGGGACCATGGGCCAGAAAACAAAACGCTTAGGCCAATTTGGACACGTTGTTTTTGGCCCAAGCTGGGGCCCCAGCAACAAGGGTGGTTGCAACTGGTTGCAACCGCAAAATGGAGGGGGCGGGGCCTTAGGAACAAAAGGAACCCCCGGGACGGCGGAGGCGTTTTTTTCCTAGGCTCCGATTGGGAGGCAGTTGGGAGTTGCTGGGGGCTGGTTTGAGTAAGGGGAGGTTTTAGGCCGGCTTAGATCTTCATGAGGGTGGGCCGTGTTGTGGTTTGGGGTTGGTTTAGGGCTGGCATCCAGGCTGCTGTTGGACGAGTTTAGGGTAGAATTTGGGTGGATTTGGGGGTGGCTTGGAGCTGATTTGTGTTGGTTGTGCTGCTGGTTAAGCGGTGTCTTTAGGGTTGCTTTAGGGATGTGGTTGCATGAGTTTGGTCTCGTTTAGGATTTGCTGCCAACCAACCAACCAACCAACCAAACCAAACCAAACCAAACCAAACCAAACCAAACCAAACCAAACCAACCCGACCAAGCAAGCCCGGCAAATCTAGCCCGAGCCTGCGTGCGAACGAAGATGTTGCCATTCCATCCCGTCAAGTATCCGATCCTCGGCGTCGCAGCTGTCCGTTGGGCAAAAAAAGATGAGGGCCCTACGTTGTATTTGCTTTGTGTTTTAACGCTAGGATTCAAACCAGAGGCGGGTGCCTTAACCTGCATTCTTAAGGAGCAGATTTCCTGGTTCCCAAAACACCACAAATGCATTGCAGGCAGAACATCTCAACACGATTAAATCCATCATACTTGGAATTTCCTGTGGCTGATTTGGACACCTTTGTTGGAGGGTGCCGCCGTCTTTTTTCATGGAGCCAAATAACATCACAAGACTCTATCGTGGGTTTTCCACTTGTTTCCCTTAAAGCCACAACAACATGGGTGGACCATCAACATGGTGGGACATGCGAAACGTCGCCTTCCAAGGCCGCTCAAAAGACGTAGGTGCCCATAAAGAAGCAGAACTCTCTTGACAATTGGTGCATCCAAAAATCTACCAAATCCAACAGCTCCTTTAGGCTTGCTTTGAGAGGCGAACAAAAACCAACCCAAATGAAACCCAACGCGTAGTCTGCTCGCACGCGCGTCGGCCAGCGTTTCAGCCGCGGTGCAGGTCCACGGTGACCAGATCCCCGCTGCCGACTTTGCGGGTGGCCTCGGGGTCGCCCTCGTTGAACTTGGGCTTGTAGATCGTCGCGGCCTTGAGGCCCTGCGATCGAAATCCAAGCTGGTCGTTGATTTACAGGCGCAAAAATGAGCATGGAACCCAAAAGGTCCCCCAAAGAGGGAGGATCCCCTGAACAGAAAGTGTTTTTTCTTTTTTCCGATTCTATGTTGATTTGTAAGAGTGCATTGATTCAGTTGATAAGTTGACCCTTTGATTCCTAGGGGCTGCCCTTCAAAAGGGGATCCTGCCCTTGCCTATGAAACAGCGAGCCCAATGCATCCGGGGTCATCATCTGGTTATCTTACGAGGAATGTTTAATGATTTCCACGGTCCAGGACCATCCTCAGCAAAAGGACATCTTGGGGTTTGACCATAGGCAATTTGAAGCTTCTCTTGGGGGGTGGCTCCCCAGGAACGAGCCAGTAGGGTTCTCTGAGCCCTTGCAACCATGAAAGGGGGAGAGAGAGAGAGAGTCAAAGGGACACAAAGGTTGGCAACCACACTTGAAACCCGCAGATGTAAATGATGTAAAGCTTCAGTTTTGTTCTAGCCTTTTACTAAGGTTGATTTGCCCCCAACAGGCTCATAAGATGTTATAAGGTCCCAAGCTGTTGCCCAAGGCTTCAGGTGCCAACGGAACTCAGTTTTCCGCGTGGTTTGGAGGTGGTTTTCCAACCAGGGCTTCAAATCCAAATCCAAACCACCAATCCAAACCACCACAGGGGTACCTGACAAACTGCCACGAGAGCTCCAAAATTCCGAAACCGGGAAACCGGTCACCCGCCCCCCAAAAAAAAAAACGCCGCGACCCGCTCGCGCTCGGTCGCGCAAGCGCCGGCGAGCAAAAAGAACCATGGCCTGACCCAGATCAGCGTAGGCCGCCACTTGCTTGTTGTTCTGTCCTGCCAGGGTCTGACTCATGTCATTACCCCAGATGGTTGACCGTAGAGCCTGTTCCACTAGTCTTGTTGGGGGGGAAATCTTCACCAAGAGTGAACCATCCCACCTAAAAAGGGCCCACCTAAAGTGGCGGATTGATAAACCCCTGCTTGACTAAAGGGGTGTGTGTGTGTGTGTGTCCCCTTTGAGTGGAGTTTCATCATTTTTGTGGGTGACACTCATGTCATTACCCCAGATGGTCGACCCCGGATCTAAGTAAAACCCGTTCCACTAAACTTGTTGATAGGGGGAAATCCTCATCAAAAGTGAAAAATCCCACCTAAAAGGGACCCACCTAAAGTGATGTTTGTCCCCCCGCCAAAAAAGATAGACACTTAAAAAGAACCAAAAAAACAATCACACAAGAAACAAGCAAACACACAATTTCGCATCTTGAGTCACCCTCTGCCTGCCACCCCGGCGTTTTCCGTGTAGGAGTTGATCACCTGCACGTGCGACGCAACTCAGTGACAAAGCGCAGCTTGAAACACTATTGGCTGCCCCGTGCTTTGCGATGATTTTGGTGGTGCTTCAACTTCCTTGGCTCCCCCCAAAGTTAAAGGTTCTAAGCATTGACCCCTTGACTCCCCTCCAATGTAGTCGGCGAGGCGGGTCAACCAAGCATTGGGCGTTGTAAACAAGTTTGTGCCTAGACAAGCCTCTTTCCAACAATTGTGGAAGTGGACAGAAGGGGTGTGGAAGATTGCCATCGTGTTGAAAACGGCTCTTGTCCACTTCCATGATTGTTGGAGAAGGGTAAGCATTGGATGAGTGTCAACTTCAAATTGTGCTTCAACTTAAAAAAATGATTCAACCAAACAAGCAGGCTTGATATCTTTACATGTGCGGCCACATCCCTTCTGCTTGAGGGATTGGGTTGCGCTACAGCTGAGTGGTAGTCGCTGCCGAGAACACTCAAAGGCATGTATGGATCCATTGAGAACTTGGCTGCTCTCCTGCCTGCGCACAACCCCTAACCCTTTTTAGGTTTAGTAGAAACGCCATTTCCCAAAAGGTCTAAGGCGTCTAAGGGGCCAAGGTCACGCCAAACACCCGCCAAAAAATCAGCCGGCACTCAGGTTGGAACAAAGGGACGCATGAGTTGAGCTTTCACCCTCTACGGCAGATTATGACATAGGAAACCATTTTGATAGGAAACCATTTTGAGACCCCTTTGGTCCCAGAAAGCTCTCTTTTTGCTTGGTTGCCTTTGACCCCTCTGCACAGAGTTTGAAAGTTTAACTTTTTGTGGGTCCAATGGAAAATCCGCTGGTTCTCGAAAAGTTGAAGTCCAAAGATCCAACCAAATAGCCAGGATAATTCGTGGTCCTTAGTCATTGAACAAAACTAGACTTAGAGGTTCATGGGAGGTTCATACATTCAGCCTTTCCTCAATGCGATGTGCCAAGCGACGGAGTCCATTTTGGTGAAGGATCGTGTCCTCGGGATGCCAAGTACCGGAATTCATCAGTGCATATGGGATCAAGTAATTAAGAATCATGGGCGATGTTGCTGCCAAGGCTCCCTTGGTTGATTCCGACAAACCAAGCAAAAAAAAACTAAAAAACTGGCCAAACCCAAAATGCGAAACTATGCAACAAAAAGCCAGCAGCCTGTGTTCAAAACACCTGCTTTTTGAGCTCCATGCGAATCCAAGATGTCGGATCTGGCCGATTCGCTTTGGTTGCACGTGAGGCTCATTTCATGTTTTCACCACCGGATGAATCAGCCAATCGGAGTAATTGGCGGCATAGGCACCATGCGTGCTTCTTCTGGGCTGCAGATTCGAAAAAGGGGTGTCTCCACCAGGGTTACTAGGAGACCCGTGGCCTGTTGGCTTGCGAGCCAACGTAAAGACGCGGATCCTCTCCAAGTATTCTGGCGGAATCTTTGGGAAGGGCCTGACACTGGCAGGCGTTCCCAGGAAAAAATCCAAGGGATGTTCTGTGGCATAGCTCTTTCTCAACTTCCCGCGTTGGGCCAACACCTTCGAACTGTGGACGCCCTTTCAAGTTTCACCAATCTCCCTTCGCTCCCCCCCTTACCGGGACACACTTAGAAACCCTGCAACAATTCACGGGTTGAAAGCGAACATGGAGGAAACGCAAAGAGGCAAACGGTGCTTCAACAGATACGTCAGCCAATGTTTACAGAGCGAGACAACTCATCAAAAGTGGCAACGAAGAAGTGAGGCTTCGGGCAAAGTACCCCTTTCCAGCACCTACTTAGACCCCTTTTTGCCCCCCAAAAGCCATCCTCAGGAGGTACTTGGACCCTCTGGGTTCCTATCTTGCCAGATTTGACCTTTGCCGAGCTGCTCGTCTGCTCGAGCAAGCTGGGGTGCGGAAAGCAGTCCTGCCAGCCAGAAGCGTCGGCCTAGGCATCCCACGGAGTCCACCGATAATCGCCCTCTACAAGTAGGGAATGAGAAATGGAATGAACCTGGGGATTCCCGAAAGGAAACCACC